AGTCGTCCGCTCCGAATTCTCTGTCCAGAATCCCACGACCTCCTCCCCTGTGCAAACCGCTGGCTTCCGTATCCTCGGGCGCACTCGTCGTGCCCAGCGGGCTGGCGGACTGCCACCAGTCCCGCGTCGTTGCACCTCGGCAAGAAGGACCATATGTGAAATTTGCGATCTACTGCCACAGATCGAAGCCCGTCTGGATCCACGCTGCGTCCAGCATGTAGCACTCACGGGATACCATGAGCGGCAGCTCCAGCATCTTGCGCCCGGTTCCGCTGGTCCTTGCGCGCCCCAGCGTGGCCGTCAGCTCTCCGCCCACGAAAGCGAGGTAACGCGGCAGGAGCCAGCTGCGGTCGTCGCAACGCAACACAGCCAACTCCTTGACGAGGCGAAGCCACGCCACCTCGCGCAGGCACGGCGTAAGGCCGTCGTCCATGACCAGCCGCTCCACGGCCCCGATGAACGCGCTGGGGAAACGCGCTGCCCTTGTCGTCGGTCCCTTGCCCACGCTGGGAAGCATCGCCACGTTCGGGACGACCTGCTGCGCCTCCGGCCGAGCGGACAGCCTGTCGCTCGCATCGACACCAGCGACCCGCTCCGCCCAATCCAAAGCGACAGACGGTTCGGCCGCCCTGGCGCGCACGTGGTCGAAGAACTGCACGATCGTCACGAGCCAAGGGACCCCATGTGCGCGCAAGAGCCACCGGCGCATCGCCTCCATGGCTCGTACGTGATCTCACTGCGTTGATGCGTGTGGGGCCCGTCATGTTGCCCTTCGCCCGATCAAGGTCCGCGCAGGCCTGCGCCGTTTCGACGGATGGGGCCCCCATCTCCTCGACAAGCACAATCCGGCGAGGCAGCCGCCGAACCCGCTCTTGCACCTCCGCGGCCGCGCGGCACCTCCGCGCGAAGCGGGCCCCCGCCATCGCGCGGGCCCCTGGCGGCGGCGGGGCCTCGGACGCACCTCGGTCGTCCGTCAATCGGCGGCTGCCGCGCCTCCTCCACGCTGAGGTCCGCAGCCTCCGCCACCTGCACGAGGGAGCAGGGAACCGTCGAACTCGGCCTGCTCCGCCTGCATGAAGGGGAACTGGGACACACAAATAAATACACACAACTAACAATATCCTACAGATGTTCCATATCTTCTAGGTTTTTGTCTTCCCCCCAACTTCCCATATTTTCCCATATTTCCTGAGAATCGCCGATTAATTGTGTCTGTGTTTTTTCCCTCCTGACTGCAGCGCGAGGCGCGGGCAGAGGTCGTGTTCGGCAGCACCTTGATACCCCGCCACCACGCGGCGTCGAGGGCGCACGGCCCAAGGGACACATCTGCGCCCAACCGTTGTTCGAGATCGGCCGAGCGACTTAGCCCCAATGTCCACAAGCATCGGGCAGAGTGAGAGGTTACGCACTCGTGTTGGCACACGGGGGCATGAATACGGCGGATTCGGGTCGTGTCGACCCGGGCGTTGGTTCCTGACACCGCAGGGATCGTTCAACTCCACCTTACACGATCGGCCGTTCTCGAAACGTCAGATCGTTCACCATCCACCCGTTCTGGGTCGCCGGCGGATTTCACGTGGAGCGTTGAGCGCCCGCGGCGGGGTCGCCGCCAGTCGACACGACGCGAACCTGCAGGAAGCACCCACAGCGGTGCCGCGGAGACCCCCGGCGGATGCGGCCGCTGGTGCTGGTGCACGCAAGAGTGGCCCTAGGCAAGAGTGACCTTTGGTGCGCGGCGTCTGGGGGGTCGCGTGGGGGGCCAAACACCATCGCGCAAGACGCTACTACCGCGGCGCGTTCGGCGATCGGGGGACCCCAGTGGGCCCGCACCAAAGGTCACTCCGACGAAGGGTCACTCTTACGTGTAGTCGACCGCTGCGTAACACCACCAGCGCTCGGGAACCTACTGATCTGAGTCAATTCGTACCGGGGACAATCGAACTCTACAGGATCCTGCAAGATACTGCAAGATACTGTAGGATCCTGAACCCAAACCCGGGTCAATGCGACCCTGGCCCTGCAGGATCCCGCAAGATCCGGCGCTCTGGCTGACCCCCGATTGCATTGACCCCCGTCTCTATAGCCTCAGGTCGGGCATGTCCTCCGACAGGCGGATTTTGGAAGAAAGAAAACACAAACATCCGAACAACAATTAAAGCATGGCCCAACATAGAAGAAGAATCCGAAATGGTTGGCTGTGTTTGACTAGTCCTCCTGTAGAGGGACATGCCCGACTCAAAACTTGAGCCCCGAACGCGCCAAGCCCTTGCGCCCCCCCCGTCCTCCGCGAGGGCGATCGCCTCCTCGAGCTCCTCCGTGTCGTGCACGGCGAGGGCGCGCAGCAGCGCCGCGTGCGCGGTGGCGCGCGGGGAGGAGCCGAAGTCCGCCTCGTACGGCCGCGTGGACCATCGGGGGCGACGAGGGGGGACGAGCCGCCCGGGGGAGGGCAAGCCGCGTGCACGGTGGACCCGTACAGCAAGGGTGCGCGATGAGGATGCAAGGGCCTTGGAGGCCCACCTCGAGGCTTCTCGGGCGGGGCGCGGCCAACGAGAGCGGCTCGGGATGGACCCAGGAGGCAGGGATGCGAGGGCACCCTTGGGAAGGTCGAGCGGGGCGCGGCCAACGAGAGCGGCTCAGGATGGACCGAGGAGGCAGGGTTGCGAGGGTACCCTTGGGGGAAGGTTGCCCATGCTCACCATGCGGGTTGACGGTGCAGGTACAGTCGGACCTGGGACAGAAGCGCAGCCCTCCGGAGCACGAGACCCTCTGCCGGCCAAAACACACAGAGACCATCCAAGGGGACCATCCCCAGGGTGCACAAGCACATCCAACAGACACGAAGAACATCAGGGTACCCTCCCCGAAACGACCTCGATCTCGCTCCTCGGTCCGGCTCTGGCCCCAGGGGGCAGCAAAACGTACATGTACCCCAGGCACGCCTGTTGCACTCCGCGCCTTCGGCGAGGCCCCCGGGGCGAACGCGTGCCATGCCCGCCCCATTGACTACCTACCAGACCACCCCAACCCAACCCGAAGACCCGAATTTCGGGTTGGGGGGGGTACGGGTTCCATATGTGTTTTCTCGATGTTCCCCGACCCCCCCCCAACTGGAAATGGAGGTCAAATTGAGGCCTTCGGGTTGGGTTGGGGTGGTTTGGTGAGTGGTGACCCGTGGGCTAGTCGCCCCCCCCTCTCGTCGCCTCCGAGACGAGATCAGCCTCGCGCGCGCGGGGCCCGGCGATGCCATGGCGCTCCGCGCGGCGGCCCAGGGGGGGCGGGGGGGGCCTCGGTCGCCCGCCCGGCGGCGGTCCAGGAGGGGGGCGCGAGGGCGAGGGCGAGCAGGAGGGGGGGGGGGGGGGGGGCAGGAGGGGAGGGGGCAGGAGGAGGGAGCAGGAGGGGCCGGCCCCTCCCGCTCCTCCCCCTCCCCCAGCCTCCTCACTTCCCCCCCCCCCCCCTCTTCCTCCCTCTGCGCCTCGTCCCCCTCCTCTCCCTCCTTCTCCTCCTCCTGCTGCTGCTGCTGCTCATCCTCCTCCCTATTCAAGACGAGGATGGCGGGGCCACCCAACGTCACGTCGCCATCAACCTCGTCGCCCATCGCCGTCCTTCGAGGTCCCTCGTCGTCATCGTCACCGCCATATTATCGGAGGCAAGCTTTCGAGCTGCGCCGAACACACTTGCGCATAACAATCGTTAATTAATGCTACCATCGCCGTCACCGCTGCCTCGCTGTCGTCGGAAACGTCGCCTTCGTCACCGTCATCCTTGTCTTCTTGGGCATGGAGAAAGCAGACATCATCACCCAGCCTGAAGATCGGCCCAAGACAGCGCAAGAGGCTCACATGACGGCGTCAAACCGGCCCAACAAGGCCCCAAGCTGGCACAAGCAGCCCCCCAAGAGGGCTCCAGAGGCCCCCAAAAGGCTCCACGAGGGGGAAAATGAATTTACATGTCGGGCCCTTCCACCAAAGATGGCCTCAAAGACTGCCAGAAGGCCCCCAACAGGCCCCCAGAGGCCCCCAAGACCACCTCAAGAGGCCGCAGGAAGCCCCCAAGGTGCCCCAGCAGGCCCCACGAGGCTACAAACATCCCCCCGCGAACACTCAGGCAAGTGCCAACGATGTTGCAATATCGGCCGACGGAATGAGCGAAGCGATTGAAGGCAAGGTGCGACCGTGGTGTTCGCCCCTGGGAAGCAAATCACGGCCTTGTGCACTCGAAGCGTGTGAAAGAGCTCATGCCCCTCCGTCTCATAGGCTCTCCCTGCCCGCTTGGTGATCGCAGCTTTGGAGATTGGCGGGCAGCGTCAGGAAGCCACCTGGATTCGCGGAGCGCTGCCAGGGTGGCTCAAGAGTTGTCTCACGGGGGGAGGGGGGGCGAGTATGCGCGGTCGTCGGTCTCTGCGCGTCCGTCGCCCTCGGCGCCTCAGCCTTGTCCACAGCCCTGGCTCAGCTGCGCTTCTGCTCTCCTCAAAAGCGCACCGTGGTGACTTGTTCTGGTCAGCTCGTGGAGCTGCCAGCCCCTCTGGGCGGCCAGAACTTCAGAGATCCACCACAGCGCTTGGGTGCCCAGAGGCCTGTCGATGGGATCGAAGGATCGCGCAGCACCGCCGATGCATCATGCGGCGCGATCCTCCGACCCGATCTGCTCGGACCCCACTCGGGAGGCCTAGAGCATCAACGCCATTGGCCTCAGAATGGGCGCGCCGGGCCAAACTGCCAACCCCCGAGTCCGGACCAGGCCTGCCCAGATCCAGTCCGCAACCACGATCTTCGCGAGCCGCTGCGCCCGCTCGCCCTCGGAGCGCTCACGTGCTCAAGCGTCACCCCGCGGGCTCCGTCGGCACCCCGTCGCCATCGCCGAACTGCTATAACGCCCTGCCGTCTCGCGGTCGCCATCGTCGCCATCGCCGTGGCCACCATCGCCGTCAGCCGCGTCATCGCCGTCGTCGCCGTCATGTCAGCACCAGCTAATCCCTAGCCTTGTGAAGAGAAAGCGCCGGCCTTGTGGAATCCTGGAACAACCCGGGTGCCGCCATCCTCCTCGAGGTTGTCCAGCAGGTTCAGTACCCCTTCGGGCAGGCTGGCAGAAAGGAGAGGATAAAAGCGCTCCCGATGAAACCAGAGCGAAAGCATGATAGGGAGGCGGGACAGAGGAGAGAGGAGAGAAATCACACTTGCATGGCATTCGTACCCTCCCTGCCAGGTGCACGAACCCCCTTGTAACCGCGATTAGTGTTTATATCCCGCCCAATGCCGGGCGGGGCGAACCCAGGGCTGCTGACACCCAACTATATTCGGAAAGTGATTATTCCGCCGCCGCCGTCAAACAAGAGTGGGAATAGAACTCCAGGGGGGAGGATGGGAGAGAAGAAGAACAATAGGACGAGAGGAAAGAGGAGCAAGAGGAGGAAGAGAATAAGAGAAGGAAGAGGAGGACCACGAAGAGGAAGGGGAGGACGCGAACCGAGGGAGGCGCAAATATGATTCACAAGCCAGAGATTTGGCGAGCTAGGGGCCTGCAACATTAAAGCCCCCCTCGGTGTCTCGCTCGTGTCAAGACTTTCGCGCCGTTCGTACCGCTTCGCCGCAGAACCAAATTCGCAAGTCCCCCTGAGGCATGGGCAACCAAGGCCAAGCAACAGAACTGAACTTGAAACCGCGCGAGTGCACACACATATCTGAGCCCTGTCCCTTGGGGCTTCGCAGAAACGCCGACGACAACGTATAGCATAATGCTCTGGCCAGTTCTCTGGGCGACAGGTGGAGAAAAATATGTGCACTGCGCTCGGGCCGCCGTGTCCCACCAAGCGGTGGACAGGCATAACAAAGAACATGGCATGGCAGACATGCTCCTGGCCCCTGCACTGCAGCCTCTAGGGGGCCCAACAATATACACCACCACCACCTCCCTCCCACCCCCCCTCTCGCTGGAAAGAGGAGAGAGGGAGGAACCGACGTGGTGGTGGTGGTGGGTATATTATTTGGGCCCCCAGCCTCTGCCCCAGCCCCTGGGTGTGACGCCGCCCCGCGCCCGCCACCACCGGTGCAGCACCGGCTGGCCGCCCCGGCCGCTCCACGGCGGCGTCCGCCACGCGATCGCACTCCGTCCCTCCCCCCCCGCCCCGCGGCCGCCGCTCCTCCCTCTTCTCCCCCCCTTGCCGCCGGACGAGAGGAGGAGGAGGAGGAGGAGGAGGAGGAGGAGGAGGAGGAGGAGGAGGAGGAGCAGGAGCAGGAGGAGGAGGAGGAGGAGGAGGGGGAGGAGGAGGAGGAGGAGGAGGAGGAGGAGGAGGAGGAGGAGGAGGAGGAGGAGGAGGAGGAGGAGGGGTGCGACAGGAGGGTGAGAATTAGCGCCCGCCGCCCCCCGGCCCGCCCACGCGCGCGCGGACTGCCGCTGCAGCGCCGCGACGCAAAAAATGCCCCTGGCCCCGAGGAGCGGCGCGGCCGTCGGCAAAGTGACGTCCGTGTGGAGATCTCCGGAGGGCCTCGGGCGCGCAGGGCGTTTTGAAGGTGCGCGGGCCGGCGGCCTCTGCCAGAAGCGGGCCGCTCAGCCCTGAGCGGCATCGGCTGGCCAAGGCCCCCCAGAGACTGTCGACTCCGTCGTCCGTGTGGATTTCGCGCCGAGAGCTGCTTCAAAATGCGAATGAAAGGACAGGTGGTAAGGACGGCTGACCCTTGGAGGCCGAAGTCTGAACTTCTGCTGGGCGGCGGGCGACCAGTGAAAACGGCAAAGGACGCGCCGCAGAGGTAAGGCAACAAGGGCACCCTGGATGAAGGTGCGCGTCCCTACTAGGCGCAACGACTGGAAGTCCCAGGGCCCGAAGCGGGCCACCCAGCAGGTGACGGCATCCGAGCCCTGCCCCCACCAACCATCGGTTTTACTGAATCGATGGGAGGCGGGGGGGGGGTTCGGATGTCGCCACTTGTTCGGACAATGTCGAACCCTACTGAGCATCGTTTAATCGATCCCCATCCCCAGCGGCATGGCCTGGGCCCCACTGGCCGATTCACCCCCCTAGATGGGGATATAGGCCGTTCCCTTCGGGTTTTGAGGGGTGTATCCCCCACTGGAGGGTTCATTTGGTGGGGATCTCGAAGGGGATGGGGATGGGAATGGGGGTCGGATAAACGATACTGACCTACCCCATCTGCCCATCTAGTTGCCCGAATCGTGGATCGGCGATGGCAGCGTCTGGAGTCCGCCGGCCCAGGAGGAGGTCAGCCCTGAACGCCCGAAACGGCGTCGCCGCCGCATCGAGGCAGCGGCAGACCGCCATCCGAAGGCAGCGTTCGCTCAAGGTCGGCCACCTGAGAAGTCTCTTGGTGGGCTGCGCACAGTCAACCCGTACAGCAAGGGTGCGCGATGAGGATGCAAGGGCCTTGGACGCCCACTTCGAAGCTTCTCGAGCGGAGCGCGGCCAACGAGAGTGGCTCAGGATGGGCCGAGGAGGCAGGGATACGAGGGTACCCTTGGGAAGGAGGCCCATCCTGACGAAGTGGGTTGACCGTACAGACGGTGGCCGCGTGGGCAACGAAGGAGCGAGCAAACGCCAGGGGCGTGCGCGCTCCGCTGGGGAGCTCGCCCGTGCCCGTTGCAGTCGGGCCTGGGACAGGAGAGCACCCTTCGGGAACAAGAGGCCCTCCGCGGGCCAAGATGACGAGCCTTCGAGGGCGCTCTCCCCCAGGTGCACAAGAAGATCCAACCAGCACGAAGAATTCCAGGGCACCCTCCTCGAACCCACCGACCTGGATCTTACACCTCGGTCCAGCCGTAGGATCCATCCAGGCCTAGGTCGGGCCTGTCCCCCTACAGGGGGACTTCGGACGGAAAATAGACAATTGACAAAAATACTTCCAAATGATACATCATAATAATAATAGTAATAATGATAATAATAATTAAAAATAATGTTGTTAAATGAAAAAAAAGAACAAACCAACAAAAAAACGTCCTCGGACTATGTTCTGATCATTTCTGAGCATTCCCCCTGTAGATGGACAGGCCCTAGATAAAAATAATCAAAAAATACGCCCAAACAGTCAAACATGGTCAACAACAACAACAAAAAAGCGTTCCCAGACTATTTCTTTACTATTTCTAAATATTTCGAGCCTGTCCCCATACAGGGGGGGATCGTGGAAGAAAAAAAAAAAAAAAAAAAAAAAAAAAAAACCCAAATGGTCAAAACAGTCCACAACAACAAAAAAGCGTCCCTGGACTATTTGTCTGACTAGTTCTGCGTATTCCCCCTGTAGAGGGACAGGCCCGAGATAGAAATAATCAAAAAAATACGGCCGAATTGTCAAAAATAGACGACAGCAACAACAACAACAACAACAACAACAACAACAACAACTACAACAACAACAACAACAATTACTAGCACGTGGGGACACACCGTTCTCACCAGTGCCAGGGTTTTCATAGGAGGCGGGCAATACCCCCACTTTGTGGGGGGGCCGGTTCAAGCTCTACCAAATTTCCAAACGACTCTTCGCCACCACCCACACCCAGCTTCCCGCCCTATGACGTTCGGACACTTCACTTCGTGGCATGCGGACGACCGTGGCTACTATTCAGGGCCCCGCGGCCGACGACGACGGCGTGCGCGCGCGAAGAAAAAACGAATGTGTCCCGCATGGTATTATTTGACAGGGATGATGGCCCTGGCAGGTGCGCAACCGTTGTTGCAGAAGTTCGAAAAAGTTGCTCGCAAAAGCCCGTTTGACAGAAATGATTAAAAAGTGTTGGGTTTCCTACGAATCCGCAAGAGCGCGCGGGATGAAATTTTGACAATTTTTTTTGAAAAACCATTGGTTTTTTGATGTTTTTATGTTAAAATCGCTACGAAAACTAAGGTTTTGGAAGGATTTCGTCTTGCGCGCGCGAATGTCCACTTTACCTTATTTTTTGCAAGGGATTCTTGAAGTTTGGTTATGTTAGAACAAGAAATGTCCACTTTAGCTTATTTTTTGCAAGGGAAAACCGATCGTAACAACACAACCGGATCCGGACTCCCCCGTTTTGCCTGAGACTTCCTCACGAAAATGATGAAAATGAGGCTGCGGCCTAGGCGCGGCGGGGGGGTCGTGCACCAGGGGTCCCAACAATAATTATTCTTTAGAAGTAATAATGTTCAACAACAACAACAACAGCAGCAACAACAACAAAAGCGTCCCCAGGCTATTTTCAGACTATTTCTGAGCATTCCCCCTGTAGAGGGACAGGCCCGAGATAAAAAGAATCAAACTATACTCCCACATAGTCAAACATAGTCAACAACAACAACAACGACAACAACAACAACAACAACAACAACAACAACAACAACAACAACAACAACAACAACCACAACAGCAGCAGCAGCAGCAGCAACAACACCAACAGCAACAGCAGCAACAACAGCAGCGTCCACAGACTATTTTTCTGACTATTTCTGGATGGTCCTCCCCTAGCGGGACGCGCCCGCCTGAACATTCCAGGCACATGGCGCGGAGGCCCAGGCCGTAGGGGCCTGACAGGCACTCGGGCGGTGGCCACGAGGGAGGGGGGGGGGCACGAAGCCCGAGACAACGATAGGGGGGGGGAGTGGCACAGAGGGGAAGGCATCGACCAGGAATCGGCGATACACCGCCGATATAGATCGGCGATAGGCCTCCGATAGTGAACCCGCACCTTGCTGGGCAGGCTGGGGCTGTCGGGCCCCCATCGGCGATCAATGGGCGATTGGGGGTCGATGCATCCCCGCCTGTGCCTATCCCCCCCTATCGTTGCCCCTGACAAGAGAGGCCCGAAAGATTCACCTCGAGGCGTCCGGCCTTGAATGTGGACCCCCGCGCAGCCCTGAACGGACGTGATCTCCGCCCGGAAGTCCCGCAGCGGAAGCCTGTCGTCGGCCATCGGGTCCGCCCCGTCCATGCCGTAGCGCATGCAGTCCTCTGGGCAGCGAGCATGACGAACGCCAAGCGACGGAGAAGGCTTGGACTTCCGACATGGTGGTGCACTCAGTTCCTGGAGCTGTTCCTTCATTTCGGTGTCCGTGGGCCGCGTTCGAGTCGAGACCGGGGCATCAAAAAAGACTTGGGATGAGAAGCTGGTCCTGGATAGGGGTCGGGAACTCTTGGGGGCGCGTATTGAACAAAGCACAACGTGGGAGGTCCGCATCGGGACCGCTCGATCCTAGGGTCGTCTCCGCCCAAGCCAGATCGATGCACGCATTGATCATCTGCAGGTCTCAAAACTCCAGGACTGCACGCGACATGATGCACATTCCCTGCTGAGCCTCGGAAGGGGCCCGGCATCTCGCCTCACACGGCTGCTGACTGACAGCCCCCCCGTCGTCGACTCAACCCCCCGTGCACTGACAGGCCTGGGCTGGATCAAACTGTGAAATAGGATCGGATCGGACACGGACTGGACTGCCAGCGTACCGTTCCGAATCGAAATCGAAATCGTATATCCCCGTGCCTACCTCCAGCTGGCCCCGGCCGATGCCAGTGAATCGAACCGAATCGAGTCGGATCGGAGTCGCCTCCCGAGCCTGCGCAGCGAAGCGCATCGATTCCGATCGTGGGCGGCTCTGGCTGGCCTCGAGGCTGCACAGAGCGCCGCACATGCCCGACTCGGAGGGGCCTGGCGAGGCAAGACCGGGTCTCTCGAGGCCTGGAATGGGTACCAACACAAGCAGAACTGGGTGGGAGGGCCTCCACCGGGGGAAGATGATCCCAGATTTAGGTGTTGGTGACAATCTGTGGGCTACCTTGGGGCCCGAATATCGAGTGTTTTTTTCTTTGCGCGACCACTGAATCTCACTACGGCGTGACTGGCACAGAAACGTGAAGCAGACCAGGATCGCTGTGCGAGCCGACCTGGCGTCGGCAAGCTCACGCGATGAACTGCAGCTTGGGGGGAAGGGAGGAATCCTCGAGATCGGGATCGGGATCATCTTCCCTTGGTGGGGGCACACCGCCGTCGGCGGTGGACAAACCTCCCTTTAATAAACCTACCCTTAGTGAAAACGGCCTGGGACCGAAACCGACGGACCTGGACCCGCAAAAATGACGGCCGCGACGCCCTCTCGCGAGCCGAAAACGGCCAAGTCGCCAATCGACGCGTCAGGGTAGGAGGTCTGCCCACCCACGACGCCGACATTGGTGTTGATGTCAACCGAGGGGCCTTCCGAGGCCTCGCCCGGCGCTTCGAGAGCGGTCGCTGCGGCAGGGGCTGCAGGGCGCGCCGTCGCTGGCCAGCGTCGGGCCTGTGCCGAGCGCCGCCCGAGCCGTCGCGGCGGTGCTCCGCGCGCCGCGCAGCTGCGGGAGCGGGCCGCGGCCCACGTGCCGCCCGTGCCGAAGACCAAAGTCAGCATCGAAGCGATACATCGGATGGAGGAGGAGGGGGAGGGGGAGGAGGAGGAGGAGGAGGAGGAGGAGGAGGAGGAGGAGGAGGAGGAGGAGGAGGAGGAGGAGGAGGAGGAGGAGGAGGAGGAGAGGAGGAGGAGGAGGGGGAAGAGGAGGCGGAGGAGGAGGAGCCGGAGGAGGAGGAGGGGGAAGAGGAGGCGGAGGGAAGGAGGAAGGGAAGAGGGAGGAGGAGGAGGAGCAGGAGGAGGAGGAGGGGGAAGAGGAGGCGGAGGAGAAGGAGGAAGGAGGAGGGGAGAGGAGAGCGGAGGGAGGAGAGGAGAGGGGGAGGGGGGGAGAAACCAGTGTAACCCAAAAGTCATCAACGGTGTGGAACAAGTGGCACGCGTGCCCTGGCTCTTGCACAAAGGTGTCCGAGGCCCAGGGGGGCTACCCTGGGAAGCGTGGACAGGGGGGGGGGGGGGGGGAGGGGGACGAACGACACGACGAACGACGAAAATAAAGGGTTCCGTGGCCCAGGGGGTGGGAAGCGTGGACAGGGGGGCGGGGCTACCCTGGGAAGCGTGGACAGGGGGGGGGGCGAGGGGGGGGGGGGGGGCGAGGGACGAACGACACGACGAACGACGAAAATAAAGGGTTCCGTGGCCCAGGGGGGCTACCCTGGGAAGCGTGGACAGGGGGGGGGGGGGGCGAGGGCTACCCTGGGAAGCGTGGACAGGGGGGGGCGAGGGGGGCGGGAGGGGGGCGAGGGGGACGAACGACACGACGAACGACGAAAATAAAGGGTTCCGCGGGGGGGACTTGTTCATGAAGCGGTACTCGATCACGGAGTTCCGCCTCAGCGTCTCCCCGTCGGTCAGCTCGGAGCTGCAGGCAGGGAGTCGTACATGGCGCGGTCCAGGAGGATCGAGTGATAGTCCGTATCCGCTTCTGTGCTCGCATCTCCGTCACATAGTGTGTTCATGATGCTCTTCGTGTGTCTACTGTCAAGCCCCTGGCACCGATGAGAACAGCCAGGTCGCCGACATGATATGTTGAGCGCGAAGTTCTTGCGCATTGAGAAAAGTACATGCCGTGAACTCGCTCTCCAGTTCTGCTTATTGGTCTCCTCTATCCAATTCGCATGTGCTGTGAACCTGTACGTTGAGAGTTGCTGCCAATCTCCCAAAGACATATTGCCTAATACGTTGGGGCGCCCTGGACACGTCTTCGACGCATGATGCCAAGAAACCGTCACGTCGTCTGCCTTGTCTTGAGTCCTTGCCAAGTTGATTGTGAGCCTACATCTCGCACACAACAAGGTCGTTGAACTCGCTGAGTTGAATGGGGTCAAGAACAGGTGGATGTTAGTGTCTGTCCGAGCTTCGATGTTGTGGAACAATATCTTCTCTTCCTTCCGCTTGTGAAAGTTTGGCAAACGTGCAAGGAGTTGCCGATCTGCGTCGGAGAAAGAATCTGCATGAGTCGTTCGAAGTGTACTGTGAAAAAGACGTGTCCTGTTCTGAGTCCGTGCTGTTCTCATGGCCGAAGATCCGTCTTGTACTGGAGGATGTTGCTTGCCTCGTAATCGTCGTTGTCGATCTTTGCGTAGGTCCCCTCTCCACACCGGCGTAACTTGGCTTGCAGGAGACATGATCTGTGCCCATGGAGTGATTGTCGGTTTCTTGATCTGCTCCACGGCTATGTTGAAAAGGAAGGAGTTGACGGCGTCTGGTTGAAGAAGTCGGAGGCGTCCGTGGAATCCCGTCGAAATTTTTAGGCCGAGTGGATACAGCTGGCGACATTCTTTGACTAGCTGGAACACGCTCTGACTGGCTCTCTGACCTTTATGTTATGATTTCTGCTTGCCGAGACCAAAACGCGAGAGTAGGTTGGAACTGGCAGCGGTAAACATTTTGGCAGCTGTCCCGATTGATGGTGTTGAAGACTGTGTTCGCCATCCCATGTATTCTCCCGTCGCGAGAGTGAAGTCCACAACTGCCATAATTGAGCTCGTCTGGTCGATAGCCATAGTAGTTTGATCTGGTATCTCTGGCGGCTCGGTGTCTATGAATGTGGATGACCAATACCAGAATAAGGCCGGCACGTTGGAAAGTGTCCATTGCCAATCATTTTTCGTGAATGTGACTTCTGATAGGGTTCGGCCTCTCAACCAGGGTGTACGCTCCACCATAGGACGTGGCTCCCATATCACGTGGGGGAACACTTCCTCCTTCGTGGCTGTCATAGTCGGGGCTCTTGCTGGTGTCGAAGTTGTCGCAGGAGTCGTCGGCTGTGTCGAGGCTGACGGTGGAGTGGTCGAAGGCGTGGCTGGCGTTGTTGAGCTTGCCGTTCGGGTCTTACTTGTTAATATGCGTGGAGTCGCAAATACCTGTTGGGCTGGATGTGGGGCGGGAGGAGCTGGAGGATCGAGATCACCCTCTGGGTCGTCCATTCCCCCTCCCCACGGATCTTCTTCATGAAGGTCCCAGAGATGTGATTCTTCTTGGTCTTGATGATCGAGCTGCTCGTGGACCTCTTGGTAGTATCGATTGAGTTGTTCTCCGCGGGGCTTGCGCCCAAAAAGAACTAGTGCCTCGGCTGCTCGTGCTTGTATAACATCCAGGAGCATGGCCTGTACGTCTTGCTCTCGTTTGATCCGCACTTTGTGGGCATCAAGGAACTCGCCGTCAATTGCTTGAAGTCTGGACAGGGGGGCTACCCTGGGAAGCGTGGACAGGGGGGCCCAGGGGGGCTACCCTGGGAAGCGTGGACAGGGGGGGGGGCGAGGGGTACCCTGGGAAGCGTGGACAGGGGGGGGGCGAGGGGGACGGGGGGGGGGCGAGGGGGACGAACGACACGACGAACGACGGAAATAAAGGGTTCCGTCCGTGGGGGCTACCCTGGGAAGCGTGGACAGGGGGGGGGCGAGGGGGACGAACGACACGACGAACGACGAAAATAAAGGTGTCCGAGGCCCAGGGGGGGGCTGCCCTGGGAAGCCTGGAGGGGGGGGGGGGGGGGGGGGCAGGGGGACGAACGAACGACACGACACGACACGAAAATAAAGGTGTCCGAGGCCCAGGGGGGGGCTGCCCTGGGAAGCCTGGAGGAGGGGGGGGCAGGGGGACGAACGACACGACACGACACGACACGAAAATAAAGATGTCCGAGCTCTAGAGCACAGCTGTGCAAGATAAAAGGTTCCGTGGCCCAGGGTCGCTGCCCTGGGAAGCCTGGACGGGCTGCTCTGGGAAGGGACTGGAGGAGGCAGGGGGGGGTGCGGGCCAGGGCCAGGGGGACGACCAGGGCCAGGGGGACGAACGACACGAACGACGAACGACACGAAAATAAAGGGTTCCGTGGCCCAGGGGGGCTGCCCTGGGAAGCCTGGACGGGCTGCCCTGGGATGCCTGGACGCGGGGCAGGGGGGGGTGAGGGCCAGGGCCAGGGGGCGACCAGGGCCAGGGGGACGAACGACACGAACGACGAACGACACGAAAATAAAGGGTTCCGTGGCCCAGGGGGGCTGCCCTGGGAAGCCTGGACGGGCTGCCCTGGGGGACGAACGACACGAACGACGAACGACACGAAAATAAAAGG